AAGTCACTTGCAAACATTATTGTATCATCAAGAGCGATTTAAGTCATCAGATCCGTCTTGAAACAAGTCTCTCCGTCAGCAAGTGTCTGGGAGCAACGGTATCATCACAGACCAACGCATGTATCTCGAGAAATGATTTAGAGTTTCAATAAGATAACAATTTAAAAAAATAGCTCTCGCAATATATGCCTAAAGATTTTTGGCGGACGTTCCGTCAGCTTCGATTACCAATAATGCGTGACGAACAAAACGGACGCTTGGCAGAGTCTTAAATGATCCACGAGCAGCGCCTGGCCTGGACCTTCCGTGACTTTCAGGAGCATGACAAATTCATAGGAGCCAACGGTCCACTGGGCCGAAAACAGGACTATGGTTAAAATCCAGTATTAATATAGTAGTACCAACACTAGAACTAAATGTAAAAATAAAATAAAATTTACACCAACCTGATTCAATTACAACAGATCCAGGCCTGAGCTCTAGTTGAAATACTATCATGCTTATGTCAGGGGTGTAGATAATTTGAGTCCTGTGAGGGAGAGTGATGGTCCACAACTCAGGTGTAGGATGTAGCGCATATCCAAAGCCCCTCGTTAGCTGAATGCGGCTTCCATATTCTTTACCAATCAAACTTTTAATTTTTAAACCTCCTTGTGTTGTCTGAAGAATGTTTTCAACAACAGCATCTTTCTTGTTTTTGGTTAACGGATTCACAGTAATTGCATGGAGAGAGGATGGATTGAGGTACAATATGACTGTGTCTCCTTCCTCAATGGTTGATTTTAGTTTATTGAAACTCATCTTATTCGAGACAAGTGAAGAACCACTTAAAATCTTCACTGCAACAATACAAAACAAGATATATACAATTCATCTATGATATAAATGTAATGAAAAATAGATATTGAGGGAAAAAGTAACAGTTAACATGGTTAATTTCACAACTATTTAAATGATAACTAATAAGGGTAGCTTTGTTGTTCTAACCTCTATTGTCATGTGGATGTAGTATACTTGTACCTGTACATACAAGTATTAGAACTAGAAAATTGTTCTTGGTTTTTTCATGAACTTGTACGTTTCTAGTCGACTAAGCAAGACACAAGATGAACAAATAATATCTCTGTAAAATATTTATCACACAAAATCAAACAATAGAGCGATTTTTATTACAAGTTAAATCACATCTAACAAGGGAAACAAGCCAGGCCCAGGCCTGTCGACTTTGCTTTGGAATGAAATTTCCCCAAATTTCTGAAGACGCCCTTCTTGATTCTATCATGCTTCTGTGGGAAAGAACAATTGTAGGCATCTATAAATATCATAAACATTAAACTTATTCGTAAAGTACCTTTTCGTTGTCATGTAATATTTTTTTAACAGTTCCAACCCGCTAAACAGACCCGGGTGGCACCTTGAGTGGAAGGTGGCACCCTGCTTACTGCCTTGTGGTAAATGCGCCCACGTCACCGGGTTCGGAACAAAGACAACAGTCGAAACAGAGTATCTTACAGCTGCCCGGGATTACCGGTTACGAGGGAATTCTCGTTAAGTTACTCGGAGGTGACTGTAGTGGGTTCCGTCAACACTGCCAACCGGTCAGCCACCCGGCAGCTCCGGCGGAATAAATTCTAGAACGTGGCTGTAAACAACAGCTGCAACCTTACAATTTAGTCAAAATGAAAGGTAAACATCACTCTGTGCCTTTATGACTATTGTACGGTACCCAATGGCTCAGCTTGGTTTGTGCGTGAAAGTATTTTCTGAAGTCCGAGTGCTCGGTTCGTTTGGGCTGTCGTCTGGGCTTTAGTTCATCCTTTCACAATTTGAATCATTACTATAGCTTTTTAAAACGTTGACCCTTCCTTTTTTCACTCTTCATGTTTTGTCGTCTTCTACGTTCATTAGATCTTGGCTAATGTACAATTTTTGTAGAGTCGGGAACCCCTTCACCATAACCTATCATAAAAATCCTTGTCCCTGTCACAATCTATCCTTTTAACATGTACTCATTTCTTTTGCAGGATTAGTCTTATTTTTGTGCCTTGCACTGGCTCGAGTCAGTCTTGCATTACCAGCTGCCTCATCATACCTCTCTGATAATGACCGTTCGCGGTTACGTCAAGTTTTGGATGGGGCGTGGGATGTAACAGATTTACCCACCATTCATTATGGAGCTCTTGGATATAAGTTATTAGGACAGGCAGTGCCAAAGCCTCAGGTGGGTAGAGTTTTATTTATTGTTGCAAAGCTGTATTTGATGATACTATAATTGAGGAATAATTTACACATTCTGCATTGTAGGAACTTTGTATATTTTTGGGAACGAAAACCGGTGAAACAAGCCCAGAAGTTCTCTTTCATTTGACTAATGCATGGAAAGCTGTTGGAACTTGCGGTTCAATGCCTTCTACTGCATTTGCAAAGGTACTATTCTCTATCTTTCTCTCCTTTCACTC